GTGTGTGTGGGTGCGTATGTGGGTGTATGTTTGTGTGTGGATAAATAAGCAAATGTGTTATCTCCAGACGTCGTGTCTTGTCCGACAAATCTGAACGCACGGCTGCAGGTCGCTCAGAAAAGTAAATGTGTCACGACACGATGAAATCAGGCGGTCACTAATCTTTGGGCATATAGGGCTGTTGTTACCATCGTAAAGCGCATTCGTTTGTCTTGAGTTTAATAAAAAAAACAGTCATTAATCTTGAATAAGAGTTGAGATATTCACTATTGAATTAGGGTGGGTCGCCTGGGGTCAAAAGTAAAATATGCGAGAAAATGGCCGCTCAAGTTTTGCAATTTCTAAAGCTTCGGTGTCCTTGGAAACTGTAAATTTACATTTGTAAAAATGCTTTTAATACCCCCCCAGTAAAATTCATACAGAAATGTTTTTTTAATGGACATACAATGAGTTGAAAAAATGGATAAAAACAGTCCAGAGGGCGGAAAAGGTGTTTATTTTCTTTCATTTCATTATTTTGACGTGGGCCTGATTTCACCACGGTGACACACATGTTATGTCTTCCATCAATAATCATTTGCTGTAGTCTCAGCCTGATTACTCTCACTGCGGCAAATCTGTGGACAAAGTGATAAAACCCCCAAACAAACAAACAAACAAACAAAAAAGCAAACAAACAATTAACAAACAAACATAAGCCTCTTCAATACCGCTTTCTGAAAATCAACTCAACAAACCAAACCGGTGCACTTAAAAAATAATCTGACATCTTGCTTTAGTTGTATATTCTCGCACCATGATATTGTGCCCCCTTTATTGTACACTGTAAAGAAAAAAAATTAATTAATTTACATTCTGTCCTTTTCTTTTTTGCAACAGCGCTTAGCCTGTTACAACTGTATGATGTCTAAATACACAGTGGAGAAAATAATTTCCATTTTCCTCATACACAAATCTGGGCAAAGAAAAAACAAAACAAAACATTTAGTATAGCACGTCCACTACAGCTGTCAACATTTTGTTCCTTTTATGAGCAAGAGAGAATAAATCCTCAACTTGACCCAGCTTCAGTATCGCTGTCATGTCCGCAAAAAGTAACTACAAAATAAATCCACATGAGCTCACGTAAACGTTAAACGGGTTACTAGGAATAGCTCAAAATAATGTTAAATCGTAAATTTTACTGCCGAAAGATGTAAATAAAGATAGATTTATCCAGCGCGTTTCAGATTCTGTGTTAGCACAGCTTTCTATTCGACAAACCAATAAGAACCAGAGATCTTCCATTATCCCTGAGCACAAATCGATTTGGGTACTCTCTCGACAAAATGAAGAGTTCCTGTCTGACATGCGCAGACCGAAGCAAACGAGTCCCTAGCCTCAGACGCATTGCGCAAAGGGTATTTCAGCTTAGACTACGCGGGACTTTTGAGATGATTATCCCCCTTCCTGAGTAGCTCTTCATCTCGAGAGTAGCGTTTTGTCATTTCGCGCTGTATAAGGAGTGCTTCCACTTAGGGGGCCGCTGTTGAGTCTTTTGAACAGGTTTTTAACGCTTGTCAGGAGAGGAAACGCTTCTACCTTAATGATTTGAAGGCTTCCACTTCCTGACGCTCCCACATCTCTAAGCTTTTCTCGTAAATTGACACTGATAGCGAGAGCTGGAGGAATGTTTTCCGGGCTAAATTCAGAAGGGCGTATTTTTTTTGTCTTGTTCTTATCAAAGAAGTTCGTATGGGCAAGTGCGAGAGGAAGTTTACAGAAAATTGTGAAGAACTCTTTGCCGCAACGAAATACAACGACGTCAAAAGAATAATATTTGAGAGATACTATTACCTTCACGTGAGAGGGGATGTCTCTAGAATTTAATTTTTAATAACGTGAATATCGTAGCTATTCAAGGTCTAGGGGGAAATAACTGTCGAACTTCTAAACTGGTCGTTAAAAAAGGGAACTAACTCCCGGAGTGCGGTGGATTGCATTCTGTGGGACAAATGAAAAGAAAACTATTCGTTAGTATTTCTTCGTACATATCATTGGAATGTGTGTAACATCTAGAACTATTTTGTAACTAAACTATGATGCCATAGAGGGTTCCAAAGTCCTGCTATAGTTGAATAATGCTATTGTGCATGTCATCAGCTCAGTTGGTATGTAAGAGAATGGCGTGGAAATCCCTGGTTCAAATTCCCAGTGGTGCTTTATTGAGCATGTTTAGGGCAGTTTTCAGCGCTCGTCTCCTTCTTGGCCCTGTCCTATCGTAGAAAGGCGTTGAAATCGGAGGTGCTACCTCTTAAATATCCCTACGGTTCTGACAGAGGCTGCACCATTTATTTCAATAATATAGATGTTTTCTTCCCGCCAGTGTGTAACTATATGTGAGTTAAACGGGAAACCATGTGGATGTCATGGCGAAAAGATGGAAAACAAAACAAAGAAATAAAGAGAAGGGAAAGCACCTCCAATCACCATTAGCAGGTTTATGTTCCTTGAATTTGTAGTGGAACAATCTTATTGGGCCACACTCGTACACAATGAGATTTTTGAGACGTCGGCACAACCCGGGCAACCTCCAGACCGTGGCAACTAGGCCTAGTGGTACAAGGAACCAGCTGAGAGCGAGTGGGTCAACCCTTGTGAGATTTCTATTTTCTTTGTCTGCTGTTGTCCTCTTCTCATGAGGCGGTTCTCACTTCACTCCCGTCAGCGTGGGGATCTCTGAACTTCGACGAGAGAAAACTTGGATTTGTAATACACCGACCTGCAGGCGTGTGTGTGTGCGTGATTTTGAGCCGTTCTTGCTAACCGAGCCACACGTAAAATCCCGATGTATAAATATTCTGTACTATTTCATAGATGGCATTAACTTGATTATTCTACATTTTTGGATACTATAAACGTGTGTGTATATCATAGATGAATGCAATCTTATTTATTTTGATGTCTTGCATGAGGTTATACAATAGATGCAATATTTAATGTTGAGAACAATAATATTTTAATTCACAATTTCTCAAATGATGTTTTTTTCGTTTTTCTTTCTATGTCGTGTTTTGCATTTCAAGCTTGATCGATGTGTCAGGTACTGGTGCTTGTGGAGTGATGGGTATACTTCGCTACCTCGGAACTATAAAATTCTATCTGCTCAATTCCTAGCTTTGTGAAATTCGACATTAAAGATATAGCGTTTCACAACTCGTCAAACATTTTCGAATGTAATTCTTTAAATATCTTGATTACGACTCCGAATAATCTTACTATTTTGATAGAGCAGATAGAACATTTGGTTTCTGACCTCATGGTCTTATTAATTCAAAACGTTCATAAATGTCAAATAGAACTTTGTAATTCTGAGGTAACGGTTGTCTTCACCATCATGCCCAAAGACGTAGTGTTGATTGTCACGTACACAAGTCTTTTATTTTAAAATCGAACATCTTCATTTTTCTCTTGGGATGCTGTATCCCACTCTTCCCGGATCGATCCCGACAAGCATGCCCACATCCTATTTATTTCGATAATATAGACGTTTTCTTCCCTCCAGTGACCTCTTAATTCTTAACTTACTATGCCCAGTTTGGAATTGTTCACCCGTTCAAGACTGTGGTGTACTCGGGTTCAAGTGTCTAATGCCCACAGTGATCTTTTCGGGAGGTCTTGGTTGAAGTCAGGAAATCTTATTATTAACAGAAAGGAGATACAACAAAAAATAGGTTCGGCTCAATTCTGATTCCTCCGTCAATGAGCTTTCGTAATCTACAGCTTCTCAGGAACTGGTGCCTTCAGCGTAACCTCGAACCCAAACTCCCCAAATCCTCAGCCCAAGCTCTTAAATTGGAATCAACTGTGTCTGTTTATATCTGACGCTGCTGTTGTTGTCGTCGTAGTCGTTGTTGTCGTTGTTGTTGTCAGCTTTTCTGATGCTGGGACCATCGTTACTGTTGCTGTTTCTGACTTTGCCGTTTCTACAGATGGTGCTGTCATTATAGTTTTTTGTTGTTGTTGATGTTGTTTATTGGGACGTTGCGGTTTTGCACAGAATGGCTTTACTGTATTAGACCCGATATATTCTCCCATTTCAATAGTTTCCATGGAACAGAGATGTCAGAGTGGTGTCGGTAGCCTACGAGACTGGTAATCGTGAGATTGCGGGTTCGGGGATTCGAACCTCTTCTGGGTCCGACTTTGTGTCCCTGGGAAAGGCACTTTACACGAAATTCCCATTTAGCTTGGTCTTTTCGGGGATGGATGTTAAACTCGGAGGTGATCCCGCCTCTTAAATAGCTTAACAGTGTTGATAGGGGAGTTGAACCTTTACCATTTCCCCATTTTCAGAGACGGCAGACAAAATCAAATGTGGAAAACTATAACACCTTAAATCCTTCACTGCCAGGGCCAAGAGCTGAATAATGGAGCAGGTCTGGGTTTATAAGCACGTTCCTGTGTTTCATAACTCCAAGACTATAGGAATTTAAATGCTTAACTTTAGTTTAGTAAAGGTTTTGCGGCACTTGCAACTCAACTAGGTCTTATAAGTGCGGAAGATTAGATGTGTTGCAAGAAAGTAACATATAAGGACGATAGAAGTTTGAAGGGAAAGAAGGATCAAACAATACTAGAGCACCTGTCAACCAAACACGAACACAAATTCATTGTGGGCTACTTTTCAGCTTCAGAACAGAAATATGGTAACGTCTTTTTCCCCTCTCAACCGACAGCTTAATGACCACCAGAGCGACGGTGAACTGATCTCGCGGGGACCAACTTTGTGTTGGCAAAACACTGCCCTGCCTCTCGGACACTCTCAGGTGGATTTAGTCAATGCAAACGAATTATTTGCCTTTAGTAATAAAAAAAAGTCTAAATAATAAAACTAATAA